CATGTTATAATGGTGGTACGAGTTTCCAACTGTGTGGTGTTACTTTATTTCAGTGTAGAGTGGTTTCAAAAGCTTAACTATGCATCATTTGTGACCAACTACTGCTGGGCCTATTATTCCACAGTGAAAAACATCACTGCATAGATTACAGTGATGGTAAAATCACCAAGGTGAGGCGCTGTTAAAGAGAACAAAGAGGCCCCACATTGGGTATGCTGTACTGTTTCTATACCCTGGCAGGCAGGGGAAAACAGTATTTATGTAAATGAACTTTGAAGGCACACAGATGCACCATTGTCTCAGGCGTCTCTTGGACATCTTTTGAAGGGGGCAAATGGGTGCTTTCAAAGCCATTCAAAGTCATTTCTGTTCTCATGATCACAACATGCTATTCATGCACACAAGCTCCTTTTCATCTTTGAAAGTTGGCATTTATTTTATCATAACTGATGACCCAGAAAGAGAAAGGAACAAAATTTATTCTGCCTGGATTCCTCACATTTCTGTCTCCCAAGTATAGGATGATTCGGTCCTCTATGGGATCCTTGTCAGGGTCCACCCTCATGAATAAACTGATGGATGTCATTGTCTTCAGTTCTTCCAAATTGCTGTGAGGATGAACCTCCACTGAGGACTGTCCGTTAAATTTCATGGAGACCTGGACCTGGGGCAGAAAATAAAGGAAACTGAGTTCTCTTTGTTTAGCAGTTATCATCTTGATATCTGATAGCAGAACGTGAATTTAAAAAGGTTTACAGCTTCATAATGACTGGTGTGAAAATTTTAACTGGAGTAGTGGAATGGAGTAGAAGGGTTTTATTAAGTAGAAAAATTATAGGGAAGAATTTTGATAGTCAAGAGGGGATGCTGAAATACTACTTCAGAATTTAAAATGAGAACAAAGCTAACACGTCGGGTGTGTGGACAGTTTTTACTTTTCTTTTCTTTTTGTAGGGGTCACCTGTGTAGACATGGTAAGAAGAAATTTCATTTCTAAAATTTTAAAGAAAAACAAAAATTAAGCAGAAATACAGAAACCATGTGTGAAAACTATGTATACCTAATGATTCAATAGATTATTATCGTATAGAATTTAAGCCCACTCTTTTTTTACTTTTTACAATGTTCCCTCAGTTGACTGACGTTTGCATCTATACACAGTTCACTTAAGGTCTGACCACAGCATTTCAATTGGGTTGAGGTCTGGACTTTGAGTCATTGCAACACTGATTCTTTTCTTTTTTAGCTGTTGTAGATTTGTTGTGTGATGCAATCATTGTCCTGTTTCATGACTGAGTCTCTGCCAAGTTTTAGCTATTGGACAGGCAGCCTCACATCTGACTCCAGAATACAGTGGCATACAGAAAAGTTCATGGTCAACTGGATGTCAACTCGTGGTCAACTCATGGTCAGCTCGATGACTAAGGTGCCCTGCTCCTCTGGCTGTACAACAAGCCCAAATAATTTCTCATGGGAAGTCTACAGAGTCAAATATTTGCCAGTTTTGTCAATGTTTTAATTTATGCACACACAAATGTTTAAGGTGTAAGGAACTTGGGTTGTTCTTATTAACTAATATCAATTCCTCTAAATATTGTGGTATAACAACATTTTGTTTGATTGGGCCTTAGTTACAGGCTAGCTAAAGCTAACCTCAATGCTCTTTAATTATCATGATCATATATCATCATCTTTTATATTCTCTTATTAATATTTTGTTAGCTTTATTTAGTCTGTAGGTACAGTTTGTGGTTCTGCTTTCTGTTTTTGTGTTGTATTGCTATATTTACTATTTTACCATTTTTATTTAATAACTTCAC